ATGAACACTTCGGGTCGAAGCAAAATACGACGATATCCAGATTTAAATTTTTTACGCGATCTCAAAACCGAGGCGAGTCCATAGATGAATACGTCACCGCGCTTAAATTATTGAGCCAGTCCTGCGAGTTCGAGCATTTAGAAGATGGATTGATACGCGACAGAATTGTCTGCGGAGTAACGGACGGTGTTGTCAGAGAAAGGTTACTCAGGTCCGAGGATCTCACTTTGGCCAAGGCAGTCAAAATATGTCAGGCAAATGAAATGTCCAATGAGGAAACGCAGCAGATAGAAGAGACAAAAGGAGAATCAACGGAGCCGGTGCCGGGAGCGTCGGGTCTCGCGGTGGACGTCGTGGCGGGCGCGTGGGGCGCCGGGTGGCGCGGGCGCGGCCGCGGCGGACAGCAGCGCCCCCCGCCGGCGACGCGTCGGCGCTTCGATGTTTTTCGAGTTAAATGTTTAAGCTGTGCTAATTATAAGTGTAACGGTGATAACAGGTGCCCAGCTAAAAGGGCTATTTGTTTTTTATGTAATCAAATAGGACATTTTAGAAAATGTTGTCAACAAAATTATAAAAAAGTATTGCAATTAGATGAGAGTTATAGCAGTGATAGTGACCTTTATCAGGTTTCAACGCTTCGTGACAAATGTAAGGACAACAAGTACGGCAACAAATGGTATGAATATTTAATTTTAAATTTAACTGGAAAGCGCGAGTTGTTTAAGTTAGATACGGGTTCGGATTTAAATGTTATTTCTATAGATACGTTTAAAAAATTGGGATGTGACTTTTCTATTTTACATTCGGATAATACAAGAGCGCAGTCATTTTGTGGTAATTACTTAACCGTTATCGGAGCATGTGATTTGTTATGGACTTACAAAACTGATACATATAATTTACATTTTATTGTTACTAAACATAATTGTCAAAGTGTACTGGGAAAAGATACTTGCGAACGATTGGGTATGATAAGACGTGTCCATACTGTGATATCGTCATGTAATATCGCATCTTATAACGATTTATTTCAAGGGTTGGGTAAATTACCAGGGAGGTATAAAATTATAATCGATGAGAGTGTACAGCCGTCTGTATGTCCCGTTAGGAAAATACCTATTGGTGTAAGACAAAAATTATTAGTTGAATTGAATCGTATGACGGAGTTAGGCGTGATAAGAAAAGTGTCTCATCCGACGGAGTGGGTTAATGCGATAGTCGTGGCCGCCAAGAAAGACGGTGGCATCCGCGTGTGCCTTGACCCGCGGCCGCTCAACAAGGCGGTGCGCCGCGCCCACTACCCGCTGCCCACGCTCGCGGAGATAGCTTGTCGGCTGCAAGGGGCGACCGTCTTTAGCAAGCTCGACGCGCGCTCGGGTTTCTGGATGTGCGAGATCGACGATGCGAGTGCCGATTTGTGTACTTTTGGCACGCCCTTTGGGCGTTATCAGTTCTTGCGTTTACCGTACGGAATTAATTGTGCGCCAGAAGTTTTTCATTCGAAAATTAGACAGATTCTTGAGGATTTAGAGGGCGTCGACTCGTTTGTAGATGACATAGTAGTTTGGGGCGCGAATATCGACGAGCATGATAGGCGATTAAAGGCCCTTCTTGATAGGGCCAGAGAAGTAGGAATTAAATTTAACCGTCAAAAATGCGAATTCGCCGTAAAACAAATTAATTATTTAGGTCATATTTTTAGTGCTGGCGGCATGCAGATAGATAAGAATAAGTTAAAGGCCATTACGGATATGCCGTCTCCACATGATAGACCTTCCCTGGAACGTTTTTTGGGCATGGTTAATTATTTATCGAAATATATACCGAACTATTCCGATGAGGTTTACCCGTTGAGATGTTTATTAAAAAAAGATAGCGAGTGGTGCTGGGACGGTGTGCATGAGGCGGCCGTTGCACGTGTAAAACGGCTACTGAGCGAGGCGCCCGTGTTGGCGCTTTACGAGGCGCGCGCGCCTGTGCTCGTGTCTGTGGACGCGAGCGCGCGTGCGCTGGGTGCGGTGCTGCTGCAACGCGGCCGCCCCGTCGAGTTCGCCTCCATGACGCTCAGCGATACGCAATGTCGTTATGCGCAGATAGAAAAGGAATTGTTGGCTATCGTTTTTGCGTTAGAGCGGTTTCATCAGTACGTTTTTGGTAGGGCGGACGTCACGGTGGAGACCGATCACAAGCCCTTAGAATGTCTGTTTAAGAAAGCTTTGGACTCTGTGCCGGCACGCCTCCAACGTATGATGTTAAGAGCGCAAGCGTATCAATTTAAAGTTATGTACAAGCCCGGAAAGTATATGTATATTGCGGACACACTATCGAGGGCGCCGCTAGGAGAAATATTGTCTGATAAAATATGTAATGAGGTTGAGGATCAGACCTGTTTTTTGTTAGAAAATGTCAGATTCAGTAGTGAAAAAACGAAACTAGTTAAAGAGTGTACGGCTAAGGATGAGGAGTGTAAACTTTTGATAGCGTATATAATTAATGGCTGGCCGGACAATAAGTATGAGGTCGACGAACGTGTTCGCGCGCAGTGGTCCTATAGGGAATTATTTGAATACGTCGACGGCATAATTTTTAAGGATAATTTGGTGTATATACCGAATGGTTTGCGCAAGGAGATGGTGGACCGCGTTCACGACGGGCACATGGGCATAGACCGGTGCAAGCGTCACGCGCGTGAGGTTATGTTCTGGCCGGGCATGTCACGTGACATTGAGCAGCGCGTGCGGCGCTGCGCTGCGTGCGCCGAGCGTACGCCGCGCCCCCAGCGGGAGCCCCTGCTACCACACCACATACCAGACATACCCTGGGCCAAGGTAGGTTCCGATATTTTTCAAATAGGAAAAAATTATTACCTTATATTAGTGGATTATTTTTCGAATTTCGTTGAGGTTGTTACGATAACTAATATTTGTAGCAGATCAATTATTGGTGCTCTAAAGGAGCAATTTTCGCGACACGGCATTCCGTCACAGCTGGTGACAGACAACGGGCCAGCTTACGCATCTAAAGAATTCGCATTGTTTAGTCGGACTTGGGGTTTCGATCATATAACGACGTCGCCTAATTATCCGCAGTCGAATGGACGTAGTGAAAGAACCGTTAGAACCGTAAAAGAAATGTTAAAGAAATCGTATTTGTCAGGCAGTGATTTCTATTTAGGATTATTAAATTTCCGAGCCACGCCGCGTGATGGCATTGCATCGCCTTCGGAGCTGTTGATGGGTCGTCGAATAAATACTCGGCTTCCCATACATTTCAGCAAACTCAAACCTTCTCGAGACAATAGTGAAGATTATAAAAACATTCGCGAAAAACAGTTTAGGTCTAAGAGAAGATATGACTGCCACTCGAGGCCGCTTCCGGAGCTGCGACCTGGACAGAAAGTGATCATAGCGGACGGAGTGAGCCGGCGCAGGCGTGGTTGCGTACAGGCACGCGCTGCGCAACCGCGATCTTACTTTGTTAATGACGGCACAGGCAGGTGTTACAGACGTAATAGGCGACATTTAATTAATATCGGTCCTCAGAGCAGAGGCAGCGGCGCTGTCGAGTCCGCTGAAGGCGGCTGCAGTGCGGATACGTCTTACACAGGCTCGGGAATGCAACGCGACCCAGGTAATGAGCCTACTACAAGCGCAATGTCGTCACTATTTCCTAATAATAATGAGCAAAAAATTGATGTTAGGCAGGCGGCTATTTTAGCGAAAAACAAGTTTAAGAATCTTTTTCCGTGATTAAAATTTAACTTATTAGTGTTACTAGTGTATTATCATATTATTATGTGTGGTTTTAGGTATCTTAAGATGAAGTTTAGCCATTTTTGTTATGTAAAAAAAAAAAGAAAACATTGTATATTTTAAGTATTATAGAAATGTTAAGGTGCATACACTTTAAGTTTTTATATTGTACTAACAAGTGAAGTAGTAATGAGATATTGTTTTTCACAACTGTTAAAAAAAAAAGGAGGATGATGTAGTATCTGTATTAAATAAGTTGTTGTTTTATAATCTGTATATTTTGTATTCTATTTAGAGGGTATAATAAAATAACAGTCTTGTGCAATATGGCGTTTCATTACAAACGTGGAGATGTATAAGGATGTTGTAGCCATAGACAAAGGA